CTTAGTGACCAGGAACATCCCTTCAGATCCCTCAGCACATTGTTAGTGACCAGCAGCATCGTTCAGACCCTTCAGGCCCCTCTGCCCATCCTTAGTGACCAGGAACATCCCTTCAGAGCCCTCTGCACATCTTTACTGACCAGGAACATCCCCTGAGACCCCTCTGCACATCCTTAGTGACCAGGAGCATCCCTTCAGCACATTGTGAGTGACCAGCAACATCCCCCAGACCCTTCAGACACCTCAGCACATCTTCAGTGACCAGGAACATCCCTTCAGACCCTTCAGCACATTGTTAGTGACCAGCAGCATATCCTCAGACCCCTCTGCACATCTTTAGTGACCTGCAATATCCTTTCAGACCCTTCAGGCCCCTGTGCTCATCCTTAGTGACCAGGAACATCCCCTCAGACCCCTCAGCACATCTCTAGTGACCACCAGCATCCCTCAGACCCTTCAGGTCCCTGTGCCCATCCTTAGTGACCAGCAGCATCCTTTCACACCCTCCAGACCCCTCTGCCCATCTTTAGTGACCAGGAACATCCCCTCAGGCCCCTCTGCCCATCCTTAGTGACCAGCAGCATCCCCTGAGACCCCTCTGCACATCTTCAGTGACCAGGAACATCCCCTCAGACCATCCCTAGTGACGGGCAGCATCCCCCCAGACCCCTCAGCCCCAGCAGCATCCCCCCAGACCCCTGAGCCCCACTCACCAGCTGAGGTACCTCCTCTCCTGGTACACCTGTCCCTCCTCTCCCCCAAAGGACACATTGAGGGCGCTGACGGTGCAGCTGCTGTGCCAGGTGTCCCCAAAGAAGGCCTGGAGCACGCTGGCCCCGGGCAGGCTCCCGTTGGCCAGGGACAGCCCCTGGGCCCTGCACTGGATGCTGTCCTCGCGCCGCGGGCTCCGCGAGCCGTAGGCCACAGCCTTCCACTGCAGGAAGGGCAGCGGGGAGCTGCTGTTGGGGGGCTCTGCCAGCAGGGACAGCACCTGGGACAGGGACAGCGGGGTCAGCCCGGGGCACTGAGGGAAACAGAGCTCTGCCAGGGATAAGGCTGGCACAAGAGCAGGGGAAAGGGAAAGGCTGGGAGAAGAGCAGGGGAAAGGGAAAGGGAAAGGATGTGAGAAGAGCAGAGGAAAGGGAAAGGCTGGGAGAAGAGCAGGGGAAAGGGAAAGGGAAAGGATGTGAGAAGAGCAGAGGAAAGGGAAAAGGGAAAGGCTGTGAGAAGGTCAGGAAAGGGAAAGGCTGGGAGAAGAGCAAAGAAAAGGGAAAGGTTGTGAGAAGAACAGAGGAAAAGCTGGGAGAAGAGCAGAGGAAAGGGAAAGGCTGGGAGAAGAGCAGGGGAAAGGGAAAGGGAAAGGGAAAGGCTGAGAGAAGAGCAGGGGAAAGGGGAAAGGGAAAGGCTGTGAGAAGGTCAGGAAAGGGAAAGGCTGGGAGAAGAGCAAAGAAAAGGGAAAGGTTGTGAGAAGAACAGAGGAAAAGCTGGGAGAAGAGCAGAGGAAAGGCCATGAGAAGGTCAGAGGAAGAGGAAAGGCTGTGAGAAGATCAAAGAATGAGGAACAATTCTTATCTAAACTTGCTGCACCTGGTGTTGTGAACACGTGGAATGGGCTATGGAGATTTGTTTGCCAAAGGGTGGTTTCTTAACTAGCCAGTGGTGATGGTGTTTTAATTAGAGGATCAATTAGGTCAACTTGTATTATAACTGGCTATGAAAACAAGGGGTTTCTTAATAAAGATAGATTATTATCAATTAATAGATTGATTAATCTATCTAATAGATTGATATTAGCTAGACTAATATCAACGAACAGATTGGTTAATTGATCAATCAGTTAATTGATTGGGGGCTGCCCTGGCTCACCTGGAAGACACTGGGGGTGCACTCGTCGTCGATGGAATGCAGCATATTAGATCAATTCTATTAATTGATATTAATCTATCTAATGCCAATCTATTGGATATACTAATATCAATGAACAAATTCATTAATTAATCAATCAATTAACCAATTGAGGCCCACTCTGGCTCACCTGGAAGACGCTGGGGGTGTACTCATCATTGATGGAGCACAGCATATTAGATAGATCAATATAAGTCAATAGAATTGATATTAGCCTATCTCATATCACTCTATTAAGTAGACTAATATCAACAAACAGACTGGTTAATTAATCAATCTATTAATGGACTGAGGGCTGCCCTGGCTCACCTGGAAGACGCTGGGGGTGTACTCGTCATTGATGGAATGCAGCATATTAGATCAATTCTATTAATTGATATTAATCTATCTAATGCCAATCTATTGGATATATTAATGTCAACGAACAGACTGGTTAATTGATCAATCAGTTAATTGACTGGGGGCTGCCCTGGCTCACCTGGAAGACGCTGGGGGTGTACTCGTCGTCGATAGAGCGCAGCATATTAGACAGGCTAATATCAATTCTATTGATTTATATTGACCTATCTCATATCACTCTATTAAGTAGACTAATATCAATGAACAGATTGGTTAATTGATCAATAAATTGACTGACTGAGGGCTGCCGTGGCTCACCTGGAAGACGCTGGGGGTGTACTCGTCATTGATGGAGTGCAGCATATTAGACAGGTTAATATCAA